CACACACACACACACACACACACACACACACACACACACACACACAATAAAGTAATTTAAATTTATAAAAAAAAAATTATAAAAACTTAAAACACTGCTAAAGCTGAGTGTGGTTGAGCATGCCTTTAATCCCAGCGCTCAGGAGGCAGAGGCAGGAGAATCTCTGCGTTCAAGGCCATCCTAGTCTTTATAACAAGTTCCAGAACAGCTGGGACTTCATAGACCCTGTCTCAAAACAAAAGTTGCTAATGATTGTTTGTGCCAGATCCGAATATTGGTTTATGTACTAACTATTTAACCCTAAAAACAACCACATGAAGTAGGCATTATTGTCATTATGGATTATAAAGTGGATGGTTATTAGAAAAGTGAAATGGATTGACCGAGACCATGAGCTCATGGTTGGGGAAGACCTTGGATCTAAGAGTGTTGTTTGCAGCCCTGTAGCACCTACTGTCTCCCGCCTCCACACATCTGTCTTCTTCACCCAAGGTGGCTGCTTTCCTGATCCTCACTAGAGCCAGGGGTGGCCAGGGTGGGAACTGCCCCAAGTAGTCAGTGGCGCACAGGAGAGCAGGACACTACGGACTCGCATCCCTTCACAAGGCAGCCTCTCCCCATCCTGGGTGTGGCTAGGTCCCTGTCTTCACCACAGTGTCCTGTAAAATTTAGCCCACTGCTCCAGCTCTCCCGGGGACGGAGTCCTGGTTCTCACCTGTGGTTTTCTGGTGTTCTCCCATCTGTGATTGCTAAGCTGAAAATCAACCAGCAGATCTCTAGGAGATTGCTGTAAGTTTGACACATGCCCCAATAACCCAGATTAATTTGTCCTTATGTCCTGGCCATACTTCCCTTGTCAAAGGTCATGGCAGAAGCCCAAGGTCCTTGCCGAGATTCATGTGGTCTGCCCTATTCTAGAAAGAAAGGCAGAGGTTTATGTGAACTCAACCCTGACCTCATGCAGGTTCCTTGTAGCCCATCCCATGGCTGATCGGTCTCTTGCCCATCTGGGACCTAGGCATGATTTGCAGGGTCAGCTTTGCCAGCCTGATCACCTGGCACGGCTTCCCGTATTCTCGGAAGTCGCTGTGTCGGCACTGGAAGGCCTGTGACACTGAAGACATTGAATTCATCCGGAGGGGGCATCCTTGGTGTTCGGCTTCACATTTTTACAGTCCTGGGAAATATGCTTGCTGAACACAAAGCAAAATTAGAAGTAATTACAGCTCAAGCCTCTGACTGGGGGACATAAGAGGGTGGGAGTGACTGAGCGAGGGAAAGGCTTGGATTAAGCCAGAAATGGTGGAACGAGGGTCCTGCAGCAAAACAACCAATATGATAACAGGAAGTTTTTAGAGGTGTGTGTGTGTGTGAAAGAGAGAGACAGACAGACACGGACTGAGGCACTGAGTTAGTTGTAAGGGCTAGCAAATAAAAAATTTGAAAAATGACCAATAGACCAGAGCTCCCAAGGGAGAACTGGCCCTGCAGTCTTGAATCTAAAGACAGAGTCCTTCCTTCCGCACCTCAGTTCAAGGCCTTCAGCTGTAGAAAACCCACATTTGTGGGAATGCTGTTGTTTAGGTTAGTGTCCCCTAAAGGTCCACGTTCAAAGCTTGGTCTCCAGTCCCAGCGCCACTGGGACATGGGGGGGGGGGGATGGGACTTTAAGTCATTGGGAATATGTCCTTGTGTTAACTACATTTTCTTAGTTACAAAATACCGACAGATGCAACCTTAAGGAAGGTTGTCAGGGTTCACGGTATGACAGTACAGTCTGTCCCGATGGCAGGAGCTTGGAGAGGCAACTGGTGTCATTGCTCACTCGGGAACCACAATAACGGCTCCTGCTCAGCTTTGTTTCTCCTTTTAATGCAGTCCAAGGCCCTAGTGCATGGGATGGTGCCACCCACATTTGAGGGTGGACGCTCCCGCCTCAATATAATCTAGATAATCCCCCACAGACATTAGAGGCTAACCTAGTCTACACAATCCTTCCCGGGCCTGCTCGGTCTTAGTTCCGAGGTGACTGTAGATCCTGTTAAGTTTACAGCACCAGCCTGCACAGCCTCTGTAATGGATTGTGGGACCCATTCTTACAGCATCAGCCTGCACAGCCTCCGTAACGGATTGTGGGACCCATACTTTTGCAACCTTCCAGGACACAAAACTGCTTGAAAGCTGGAAGGTGATGAGACTTGATAGGACTTGATAGAAATTAGGTTGGGAATGGCCATCCTCTCGCTGAGTTGAGGGGCTTTGCTCCTCATGGACCCACCATGATGTCCTGCCTCCCAGACTCAAGGTAGCAGGGCTGTCGATCACAGACTGAATCGTCCAAAACTGTGATCTCACATGTATCAAGGTTGTTTTGTTGGCTGGTGTTTTCCAGACTGTTTGTCTGTGTAGCTCTGTAGACCAGGCTGGCCTTGAACTCACAGAGATCCACCTGCCTCTGCCTCCAGAGTGCTGGGATTAAAGGGGTGTGTCAGTCACCGCCCAGCTTTGTTACAGTAACACAAAAACAATAACAGAGGTCATTCTGCTTTAGTCAAAGTCTACTGATTTAGTCAGGCATGGTGGCTCACACCTGTAATCCGGGCACTCAGGAAACTGAGGCAGGAGAATCACCATAGATTGGAAGCCATCCTGACTACAGAGTGAGTTCCAAACCAGTGTGGGCTGTAGGTTAAGACTCCATATCAAACAAACAAAAGCCCACTGACTTCAATGTTAATCATGTCTAAAACTTTCTTTTACAGCAACATCTGTGTTGATACTTGACCTAACAACTGGGCACTGCAGCTTGTCAATACGACGGGTCCCAGGACCATGGAGGGTGGCAGCCAAAACCGGATCCTTTTGAGGATGCTCCTTGGAAGCCAAAGATGGGTGTGTGGGCTCTGGGGGGGTCTCAGGAACAGATGAGCTTTTAGCTATTTCCTGAGTATCCTTAGGACTTAAAATATAGGCAGAACACAGACATGTCAGCCAGGCCCCTGACTTCAAGGGCTGCTTGATCCAGAGAGGTCACATTTGTACAAATATCAGGCAGATTAGGGCAAGCCCCATTACAGAGCAATGCTGGGCATCCCAGAGCCACAGGTGAGATGTCTGGGGGGAGAAGGACAGAGCTCTCCACGGTCTTCCCTCCTTGAGAACAGATGGCTGCTGAGGGGTGGGGGGAAGAGGAAGTACCATGGTAAGAACAGACAGGGCAGTGGCGACCATGGAAGAGAGGAGGTTGGGGTAAAGGAGACATATATTTTGAAATGGGCACGGGCCTACTGACTGAGCAAGAGAGGGTTAAAGGATGTTACCGGGTTTTGGGGATTTAGCTCAGTGGTAGAGCGCTTGCCTAGCAAGTGCAAGGCCCTGGGTTCGGTCCTCAGCTCCAGGGGGGAAAAAAAAAGGATGTTACCGTCCAAGATCCATGAGTGTGTAAGAGAAGGTCATGGGGGGAGAGGGGGAGGATGTGACTGAAATATATGCCTGCATGAAACTGTAAAAGAATAAAATTTTAAAAACCAAGCAGAGATACTACATGCCTGTTGCTGAAGTTTTCCTGGTTCTGCCCAGCCCATGGTCAGGACAAATCTGTCTCATCTCCCAGTCCCACAGCCAAGTAAACACACAGAGACTTGTATTACTTATAGACTGTATGGCTGTGGCAAGCTTCTTGCTATCTGTTCTTAAATCTTAAATTAACCCATTTCTGTTAACCTATAACTTGTCACGTCGCTTG